GACTCCATCCCGTTTCTATAAAGTCACAACCACTGGTGTCACTGTTGTACTCACACTATGGCCTGAAGTGGGAAGGGAATCCTGGTTCTCTTGTGGTGCTATGTTGAGAAGCAATTATGCAAGCCTTAGCCTTAATTCTCAGTAGCACAGTTTAAAGTTTGGATAAAAGAGAAATAAACACAGAGTAACAGGCATATAGATCATCAGTTCTTAATCCTGCTTACAAGTTAGAATTATCTGAGGAAATATTTTTTAAATGGTAGGATCCAACCACAGAGATTTTTGTTAAATTGAATTGGGGTGGTCAAGAGAAATGACTTAAAAGAAAAAAATTGTACATGATGTATTTTATTTTGCAAAAGTGTCTTCACATATGGCCACATCGATTTCTCCCATTTCACATGCTCTCATGGCAAGGAGACATCATGTTACATTAAGATTTGTTGGTTTATATTCTGTTCTTTCATTTCCTTTTTCTTGAAGTAAAATATATATTTATATATATTTAACATAAAGCTTACTCTTTTCACTATTTTTGAGCATACAATTCAGTAGCACTGAGTAAAATTTATAATATTGCATAACCATCACCACTATGCATCTGCAGAAAAATTTCACCATCCCCAGAAGAAATTTTGTTCCCATTGAACTGTAGCTCCCTACTCCCCTTCCATGGGGTTGTTCTGTCCATTATTGAAAGTAATATATTGAACTCTTTAATTTTTATATAGAACTGTGTATTTCTCCCTTGAATTCTGTCAATGTTTATTTTATATAATTCTGATTTCTCCCTTTAATTCTGTCAGTGTTTGCATCAAATATTTGGTACTAGGCTATTAAATGCATTCTTGCTTCTAAACATTATATGGTCTTGGTGAGTTAACCCTCTTTTCAATATATAATATCCTTTTCTTATCACTTGTAACAGATTTAACTTCAAGTTTACTTTGTCTAATGTTATTAGATAGCTACCTCAGCTCTCTTTTGGCTCCTAATTGAAGGGAATATCTTTTTCCACATATATGAGTGCAAATAAAAAACTAGGGAAATCTGAGTAAGATTTGTGGATGGTATCAATGTCAATGTCCTAGTTGTGATATTGAACATTATTTTTGCAAGATGTTACTATGGGGAGAAACTGTGTAAAAGGTAGGTAAGATCACTCTTATTATTTCATATGAAAGCAGAGTGTTAGTTGCTCCATCATGTCCAACTCTTTGGGACCCCATGGACATGGGGTAGCCTGCCAGGCTCCTCTGTCCATGGAATTCTTCAGGCAAGAATACTTGAGTTGGTTGCCATTTTCTTCTCAAGAGAATCTTCCCAACCCAGGGATTGAACTCCTGCATTGAACTCCTGGGTCTCCTGCATTGCAGGCAGGTTCTTTATCATCTGAGCCACTAGGGAAGCCCATATTATTTATTATGCTGTGTTTAGTCATTTATTGTGTCCAACTCTTTGCGACCCCATGTACTGTAGGCCACCAGGCTCCTCTGCCCATGGGGTTTCTCCAGGCAAAAATACTGGAGTTGGTTGCCATTTCCTCCTCCAGGGGATATTCCCTGCCCAGGGGTCGAACCCACCTCTCTCACTTCGCAGGTGGATTCTTGACCATCTGAGCCACCAGAGAAGCCCAATTATTTCTCATAACTGCATGCAAATCTACAACTATCTTAAAAGTTTAATTAAAACACCATTTTCATAGTCTTTGTGTGAGGCTCAAATAGGTAATATTTTGCGAAGAAAATTCATTCAGCAACATTTATTGACACCTCCCATCTGTCCAGGCACTGTGTGAATGCTGAGCTTATAAGAGAGAATAAAATAAATGGAGTTATACTCTAGTAGAAATTTTATTCTACTGGAGTACCACACAAAATTGAGTTGTTATTTTTTTTTAATGCTCTTAAAATTTGTTTAGTATTGTTCATTATTTTACCCGTAGCATGCATTGAGTGCTTGCATGCAATGAAAATAGAGATAAAAACTGCCCAAGTCGGGTAGAGCAGGATTTGAAGCCAGTATCTGAACCCTACGTTGAGGCTCATCATCTCTAAACTCACTGCTTTCAACAAGGGAGTGCTGTTCTCTTTGCAGAATAACTCAGAGAAAACAGCTGAAGTGGAATGTGGGGACTTTTATAACACTGGGGACAGAGCAACTGTTGATGAACAGGGCTACTTCTGGTTCCTTGGGAGGAGTGATGATGTCATCAATGCATCCGGGTAGGTGTAGCTGACCCTGAGCCAGAAGGTATCACTCCCATATGCCTAGTGGGATCTAGCTTGCCCAGACATTCCTTCGTGCGTTGGTGATAAGACTCTCAGACTAGTTCTGAACCAGGGTAAGACATCATGCAATTTAAAGGGGCTGGGAAGGAAAACTTTACTTTGGTCCCTCTTTGTTGAGGGAGCTTATTCTGTGTGCTCCTCTGATGAAGCACACACCACAGAAAAACATAACAACAGCAATAATAAAATTCACCTTTATGGAATATGTATTATGTGACAGTGCTCTGTGCAGTGTTTTATACAATCCACTTCTCAATGCTAGAAGGTAGATGTGATTATCCCCATTCTATTTTTGTTGTTTTTTTTTAATTGTAGGGAAGGTGGCCCACACTGTGCAGAATGAGGGATCTTAGTTCCCTGAGTGGAGATTGAACCCATGCCCTCAGCAGTGGAAGCACAGAGTCCTAACCACTGAACCACCAGGGAATTCCCTTGATTATGCCCATTTTACATGAGGAAACGGAGCCAGTGACCGGTGGAAAAAAAAACTTGCCTGAAGTTTCAAAGACAGTAGAGGGTGCAGCCCAGATTTATAATTATAATTATAAATTTATAATTTATAAAGAAAATAAAATGACACATTACATAGTTTAGGAACAGGACATAAAATTTCAACAAATGTTAAAGATAAAGAGTTTTCATGCCAGAGGAAGCTGCTTGACTTCAGGAATTCACATTTCAGTCCTCTGAACACAGGCCTTTGCACAGGCCTCTGGCTCCCTCTGACAGTTTCCTTCTGTGCCAGGGGAAGATGTATCTCTCCAAAAGGTGAGATCTGAGGGCCTGGGTCACCATAGCCCTGGAATTTGCTCAGAAGGAACCATTGGTCCTGCAGGTACCGCATTGGGCCAGCAGAAGTAGAGAATGCCCTGGCAGAACACCCAGCGGTGGCCGAGTCTGCTGTGGTGAGCAGCCCGGACCCGGTTCGAGGAGAGGTGAGGAGGAGGACATGGGGGTCATCGTGGCTGGGTGTGGGCCTGGGAAGACCCAGGTATGGTCCAGGCCCATACCTACCCAGCCTTGGGTGGAGGGAGGGCCGTCAGTGTAATGTGCACTTATACCACGTTGTCAGCAGGCAGCACTGTGGCCTCTTCTGTGACTGAAATGATGCTGATTGGGAATGCCGCTGCTGATGCCATCTAGGAGTTAATGAACGCTTTCGATGCACTAGTTTATTTATCCCTCACAGAGCACAATGAATTAAGGACTTTTTTTATACCTTTTTACAGAGAAGGAAACAGAGGCATGAAGAGGTTAAATAACTTGTCTGGATTACACCGCTAATGAGTGGTAGAGTCAAAAGGGAAATTGCGGACTCTGGGTCCAGAGGATACATTCATTGATTCAACAAGTGTTCATTGAACACCTTCTGTGTACAATCCCTGTGAAATTAAATGAAGACATAAATAATATGAAACTAAGAGATTACTAACACTTATTAAATGCCAAGTTTTAACAATTATTAAATGTCCATAGAACTCTACCTACAATAATAGTGAAAATGGTGGTGATAACAATGATAGGAATGCAGATAAATTTAAACTAGCTTCATGTTTTATATGCATTGTCTCATGGCATCTTTACCTAAACCTGATGAAAAATGAACCTCTTCTCTCCCCATTTCACAGGAAAGGAAATTGAGATTAAGAGAAGTTAAGTGATTTTTTCCGGGGCAAAAAGTGGAAATCAGAAGTATTTGGATTTCTAAAAGCTCAACTGTCAATTTGTTTTTCCATTAATTTAATGAGCATTTACCCTTTATTTTATTTCTGGCCACACAGTGCAGTATGGTATGTGGGATCTTAGTTTCCTGAACAGGGATGGAACAGTGCCCTCTGGTGCAGAGGAGAGTCTTACCCATCGGAAGTGCCAAGCATTTACTTTTGGAACTCTTGCCTGAGTCTCCCCTCTGGTTCATCGCTACAGGTAGTGAAGGCATTTATTGTCCTGAACCCAGAATTCTCGTGCCGTGACCAAGATGAGCTCATCAAGGAGCTGCAGCAGCATGTGAAGTCAGTGACGGCCCCTTACAAGTACCCAAGGAAAGTGAGTGAGAGCAGATGGATGGGGTCTGGTCTTTTTGAGTGGTTCTGGGGATTCCGCTGCCTGAAGTCTCATAGGATGTAGTGTAGCTGGGGTGAAGCATTAGTACCCAAGAGAACTAAAAATTTTGTCTCCAGAAGAAGCTTTTCAGCTTATGGGTGTGGGGGAGCCCACTTAATTGGATAGAACCTCTATCCTGTGTCAGAAACTCATCCATTGCTGGCATGTCAACCTAAAGAAAAAATATTAGACAGCTGTCCAAAGATATCCACGTGAGTTATTTATAATCTTTCAAAATTTGAAAACAACATCCAAATCAGCAACTTCCAAACTTTTAAAAAACATTATTTGCAGTGAGATATACATTTTACTAGGGCTTCTCTGGTGGCTCAGAGGTTAAAGCATCTGCCTGCAATGTGGGAGACCTGGGTTCGATCCCTGGGTCGGGGAGATCCCCTGGAAGAGGAAATGGCAACCCACTCCACTATTCTTGCCTGGAGAACCCCATGGACGGAGGACCCTGGTGGGCTACAGTCCACAGGGTCACAAAGAGTCGGACACGACTGAGTACTTAACTAACTAATACATTTTATATTGCAATCCAGTATACATATACACAAATAACAAACAAAAATTAGCAAAATGATATTTATCCTAACAATGTGTAATACATTCTGATACTTTTTATTCAACTTCATTTGTTTTAAACTCCATGAACAACTTACAAAAAATTTTCAACAATAGAGAAAGGTTTAAATTATTCAAGAAATCTAATATTATTCTGTAACTTAAAATGTGATTTTTATTTTTAACATAAAAATATCATGACAATGTATTATTGAGATAATAACGCAGGCTATAAAAGAATATATATAATACTATACTATTTAAAACAAAAAGTTAATATTTCCTTCTTTTGTAATAATACTTTGCTGCATTGTCTGAATGCTTACAATCCATACATATTATAAAGCCATATATCTAACATTTATTGAGCATTTACTATGTGTACCAGACCCTAGACTAAATGCTTTACGTGCCTTTTTATTTTATTTAATCCTCTCCATAACCTGAGAAAATCTTCCCAGTCTACAAAGAGGAAGCTGAGGCTCAAACACTCAAAGTAAATTGCCTGAGATTAGAATAAATAAAAGGTGGAATTTAAAACCATGTGTACCTGACAACAGAGGTCATGCTGTTAAGATTAGGATCTGATGCTTTTTCAAGAGCAGAATATAGGATGCATAGCAGTTAAGAAGGGTTTGATGTTATTGTGGGTAACTAACAGTCCCAAATTGGTAGTGGGTTGTAACAAGGAAGATGTCTTTCTTGCTCATGACACCTGTCCACCATGGCTGTCCTGGGGCCTTTGTTCCACATCTCCTCACCTTGGGACCAGGATAAAGGAGCAACTGCCTTGTAGGTACCTACCAGAGTACTAGAAGAGATGGACAGAGAAGGTGGCCTGTCTCAGTGATTCCCAACTTTTTTATTAGAGGTGGCATGCTTCACTCCTACTCATATTTCATTGATCAAAGTACATCAAAGAGCTGCATCCAACTTCAGAGGGTAGGAGAAGAATTTGACAAATGGTGGACCCCCAAAATGGTGGCACCAGACTGTCCCAGAGTGTCAACCTGTCTGGGGGTCTGTGAAGGGGCTAAGGAGGAGAGCTGCTGGGAGTTGATAAAAGATGACGGGGGTCAGGGGAACTCAACTGGAATGGGTTTGCTTTATCTTCATCCAGGTGGAGTTTGTCTCAGAGCTGCCCAAAACCATCACTGGCAAGATAAAAAGAAGTGAGCTTCGGAAGAAGGAGTTTGGTCAGAAGTAGTTGGCAAAAAACTCAGAAGTCATCTTGTGATCTTGGCCAAATTCCTAACTGCCTCAGTTTCCTCATGATGGTGAGGATGAGGAGAGGAATGTTGAGAGAGATGACTTGAAAGAGAACCAGGAGGGACAACATCCCAGCATTTTGGTACTTTCAAATTAATATCAGTCACTGTCCTTTCTTCAAGTTCCCTGTTCCTCTAAGATTGCCCAGGTGAGTGGGCAGAATGGAGCTAAAAGAAATAAAATATTTGAGTTAGCGTCTACAGTGACTCTATTGTGTGTTTATTTTGTGAGAGATCTGGCGCTAAATGCACAGTTCAGTTCAGTTCAGTTGCTCTGTCATATCCCACTATTTGCGACCCATGGACTGCAACACACCAGGCTCCCCTGTCCAACACCAACTCCCAGAGCTTGCTCAAACTCATGTCCATCAAGTCAGTGATGCCATCCAACCATCTCATCCTCTTCTCCTGCCTTCAATCTTTCCCAGCATCAGGCTCTTTTTCAAGGAGTCAGTTCTTTGCATCAGGTGGCTTCAGCCTCAGCATCAGTCCTTCCAATGAATATTCAGGACTGATTTCCATTAGGATTGACTGGTTTGATCTCCTTGAAGTCCAAGGGACTCACAAGAGTCTTCTCCAACACCACAGCTAAATGCTGGCCCTCTGTAATTCCCAGAATCCCCATCAAAGTTTGCCCCAGGGCCTGACTCTCACTCCTGGTTCCAGAGACTCTGGGTGACCCCTCACACCTACTCAATGACCAGGAGCTGGAGGTCTAGGAGGACAGTCTGTGGGGCCCCAGGGGTCTGGCTTGCCTCTCCCCATCTAGAGGGTGGGCAGGAGGCAGGGCATCTGTGGTGTCTCAGGAATGGAGCAGAGGGGAGGGCAGCCCAGCCTGGTGACCACAGTTGCTTGCCAGACCATCTCTCTTCTTCTACCACCCAGTGGATCCACTGCCTCTCCTCCCACTAATAATGCTGATGCTGGTGCTTGCAGGTTCAGCTGGGGTCAGCACAGGCTAGTGAGAGTCCTACCCTCTGGGGACCCAGGAGTCCTGCAGGACTCCACCAGTTCTTCCAAGGGACACAGGAGCTTTGTTCCCCAGCCTCTTCCCGGGGGCCCAGAGTCCTCCCCAGACACCGCTCCTTATTGTGCCATTCAGGGCCTTCGATACCCCTGGCCTGTGATTCTGTGAACTAATCCTTCACTCCACTCATCCATGCAGATTGAGATGGAACCACAGAGACTGGAAGGAGGGGAGTCAGATCAGTTCAGTCACTCAGTCGTGTCCAACTCTTTGCGACCTCATGGACTGCAGCACACTAGGCTTCCCTGTCCATCACCAACTCACGGAGCTTGCTCAAATTCATGTCCATCAAGTCGGTGATGCCACCCAACCATCTCATGTTCTGCCGTCCCCTTCTCCTCCCACCTTCAATCTTCCCCAGCATCAGGGTCTTTTCTAATGAGTCAGTTCTTCGCATCAGGTGGGCAAAGTATTGGAGTTTCAGCTTCAGGACTGATTTCCTTTAGGGTTTACTGGTTTGATCTCCTTGCAATCCAAAGGACTCTCAAGAGTTCTCCAACACCACAGTTCAAAAGCATAAATTCTTCACACACAGCTTTCTTTATAGTCCAACTCTCATATCCATACATGACTCCTGGGAAAACCATAGCTTTGACAAGACAGACCTTTGTTGGCAAAGTAATGTCTCTGCTTTTTAATATTCTGTGTAGGTTGGCCATAGCTTTCCTTTCAAGGAGCAAACAGGAGATAGGAGTTGAATCCGAGAGGGAGAGAAGGACACACTGTCACCCTTCTCACCCATTCCTGGGGGTCACCGATAGGCAGAGGGGGTCACTTCTGCAGCTGCCCTCTTTTGAGATGCACAGATAATACAGACTCACAAGGAAATATACAGACACCACAAACATGGAGACACTCAGGCACGGAATCCCCCCAGCCTCCCCTGGGGACTCAGGTGGTGGGCTCATGTACGGCTCACATGCAGACTAACAAAGGCAATGAATGAAACTCTGAGGGGAACACATAGACACACACAGGTGCACATACTCAGGGCCATGGGAAACATCTCACAGGACAGACCCACACATATTTTATGGAGGCACAAACACAAACATGCAGGCGGAGACAGATGCAAACACAGAACATAGACACATGCAAATAGATATGAAGAAGAAGACAATAGATACAAAAATGAACATCCAAATGAACAACAACTTCACATACAACACACTCTCATACATATAAAATACAAACACAACTCCAAGGACACATATGCCCCGAGACACATACACACATATCTGATATGTAAGACCCCAGTCACAGACACACACAGATTTACACAACCAATGTACACTCAATTAGTGACAAAGATGCAGACACACAAGTACGTAAAGAGAAAAACAGAGAGACACTCAATAATACCTGTGCAGTGGAAAATTCACATTCACAATCAATATCCTCACAGACACAGAAACTCAGACATACAGGTCCATCCATGCAGACTTATATAACCACAGTCACACTCAGGCTGGAATCCATTTTGGTTAAAAGATGTGTGGGTACATTGGGGAGAACCCTGAGTCAGACCAAATATGAGCAAAAAGCACAACAAAGCAAACTGACTGGCTAGAGGGAACTTGGAAAACTGCCCCCATGTAGGCAATTTAAGCCACCTCAAAAACGTGATTCTAGCCTTCCACATGTACTTTTCTTCTAATAAGTTGTACCTGCTTCATTACCTTCTGTCTCTCTGCTGAATTTTTTATACAAAGAAGACAAACGCTAAGCTCCTGTTTCAAGCCCAGTAGCTCTTGTGGTCTAGTGGTTAGGATTCAGTGCCTTCACTGCCACAGCCTGGATTTGATTCCTGGTCAGGAAACTAAGATCCCACTTCAAGCCACTGAACTGTGGAAATCAGCATGACCTGCCCCATCCAAACTGTCATGGAAGGGAAAGTTTGCAGCTATGAACCATGAACAATGCTAGGATTCTTGGCCTCCAGAGGCAAGGAATTCGATCCAGGGTCAGTAACGAGGCTTGATCACTCAGTGCATTTGCATAATAAAGTTTTATTAAAGTATGAAAGAGATAGAGAAATCTTCTGACATAGACCTCAGAAGGGGGCAGAAAGACTGCCCCCTTGCTAGTTTGAAGGAAGAAGTTATTTATCTATCAGTTCAGTTCAGTTCAGTTCAGTCGCTCAGTCGTGTCCGACTCTTTGTGACCCCGTGAACCACAGCACACCAGGCCTCCCTGTCCAGCACCAACTGCCAGGATCTACCCAAACCCATGTCCATTGAGTCGGTAATACCATCCAACCATCTCATCCTCTGTCGTCCCCTTTTCCACCTGCCCTCAATCTTTCCCAGCATCAGGGTCTTTTCAAATGAGTCAGCTCTTCACATCAGGTGGCCAAGGTATTGGAATTTCAGCTTCAACATCAGTCCTTCCAATGAACACCCAGGACTGATCTCCTTTAGGATGGACTGGTTGGATCTCCTTGCAGTCCAAGGGACTCTCAAGAGTCTTCTCCAACACCACAGTTCAAAAGCATCAATTCTTCGGCACTCAGCTTTCTTTATAGTCCAACTCTCACATCCATACATGACCACTGGAAAAACCATAGCCTTGACTAGACGGACCTTTGTTGGCAAAGTAATGTCTCTGCTTTTTAATATGCTGTCTAGGTTGGTCATAACTTTCCTTCCAAGGAGTAAGCGTCTTTTAATTTCATGGCTGCAATCACCATCTGCAGTGATTTTGGAGCCCAAAAAAATAAAGTCTGACACTGTTTCCACTGTTTCCCCATCTATTTCCCATGAAGTGATGGGACCAGATGCCATGATCTTAGTTTTCTGAATGTTGAGCTTTAAGCCAACTTTTTCACTCTCCTCTTTCACTTTCATCAAGAGGCTCTTTAGTTCTTCTTCACTTTCTGCCATAAGGGTGGTGTCATCTGCATATCTGAGGTTATTGATATTTCTCCCGGCAATCTTGATTCCAGCTTGTGCTTCTTCCAGCCCAGCATTTCTCATGATGTACTCTGCATATAAGTTAAATAAGCAGGGTGACAATATACAGCCTTGACGTACTCCTTTTCCTATTTGGAACCAGTCTGTTGTTCCATGTCCAGTTCTAACTGTTGCTTCCTGACCTACATACAGGTTTCTCAAGAGGCAGGTAAGGTGGTCTGGTATTCCCATCTCTTTGAGAATTTTCCACAGCTTATTGATGCTAATTTGAAAAAGGAATTGCCTCAAAACTGAGAAAGTGGCACCAGGCCCCTCACCCACAAAATGTCTTTTGAGATAGCATTGACACAACATGAGTCATCCTGGGCCATAAAGTAATTGACATGAATCTTGAAGAAATGCAGATTTCCAAACAAATATATAGTTCATTAACATAGCCTAAGAAAAACATTTCCAAAAGAAAAATTCATTGGTTAGCTCAACATTTGAGAAATGTTAAGTTCAGGTGAAACCAGATGTCATCATGGCAACACAGAGTTTTAAAAGCAAACTTCCAATTTTGTATAGAGAAGGAAACAAAAGTCTGACACTTGTAGTCTGTTTCCTCCTGCCACTTAAGAGAGAGATTTTTTAAAAATCTAACACTTGCAGTCTTATTTCCTCCTCTTGGGGACCCCTAGCCTTCCTGCCTGTTACCCACTAAGAAGTAGGTGTTTTCCTGGCTTCAAACCCTGTGCTAGGCTTCTGTCCCATTGCAAGGTCTTGCAGAGGGCTGTGCCCACGTCCTGAGATGCCAGAGTGGCCAGCATGGGGTGGCTCTGAGGACAGGACATACTCTACGGACAATGTGCACTTGAAGGGGGGTGTTGCATGGGGTTTAGCAGACCCCAAGGTCAAGAGAGGGAAAGAGGGGAGCCTCCCCAGAACCTCTGCTATGTGTCAGAGTGGGCTGTGCTCTCCTACAAAAACACAGTAACAGTAAAGGCATCATCAAGACTATTGTATAATAAAATTATGATCACCACAGCGATGGCTGACCATCAGCCCGAGGTGGAAGAGTCAGGTATGACCATGGCCACCTGCTTTGCTTCATCTTCAGAGCAGGGCTGACCCTGAGCTAAGTTGGACTACAGATAAAGCTTCTTTCTGGCCCCTTCTTTCTCTGGAGACTCCAGTCTCAGCTTCTTCCTCTCCCAACATTCCCTCCTAGACCTAAGTCCCTCCTGACCCTTTTCTCAGCCTGGGTAAAGCACATCTCCCTGACCACTCTGAGTCTGATTCTGTATCTGATTCTGTATCTGTGCAATGAGGATGCAGATGCTATGGACCATAAGAAGATGCCTGCAAAGTGCAGTGCTGAGCACAGGCTGGAAACAGGAGAGACCTTGAAAGGCTTCATACCTCCTAAGCTGTGAAGTTGCCCTTGGGGAGATGGTGATGCTAACACGCACAGGTGCTCAGCACATGACCCCCCTTTACCCTCATGACACTTTTTGGATGCAACAGTGGACACTCCCATTTTAGGGAAGGAAACCCACCCAGGGTCCCACTGCAGGTGAGCAGCACAGCTGGGTCTCAAGCCCTTGGCTCCTGGCCCTGTCTCCAGGGGCCAAGGAGGACTCTCCTGGATGAGAGGCTGAACGGGTTTTGGGGATGCTTCCTCGGCTGCACAAATGGTCTCACAGTTTCCAGGCCCCTTAACTCTGCTCACCTCTTACTATCGTCCTTGCTTGAGCTAGGGTGACTTCCCAATCCCTTATAGGCCTCCCATTCACTTCTGGCCTACTCTGACTCCCACCCTCTTCTGTGCCTAGTCTGTCTGTTTATAACTAGATATCCCAACTGTGGAGCTTAGTAGGCAGGCAAATGCATCTAAAGAAAATTAGACACTATTGTTTTGTTATCTCTGGTTTTTGTTTTGCCTTTTTTATCATTTCTTTGTATTTATGGTAAAATGCATTGATTTTTCATTGTAACATTAATAGAATGCTTCTTGTTTACAATAAATTTCCATAAAAATAAAAAGTTATAGATTTAAAGCAACTATTTTAAAGCTGCCATGGGCCTGAATGAGCTGGGAAACACTGTAGATCACGCTGAAAAGTATCTTTAGGAAGTTTACCTCACAGTATGGCCCAGAATAGATGATCACCAGTAGGGTTTGTCTAACCACCTGGGTCCTTTGGCCCTTGCCCACCTGTTTGGCTCTCCCCACCCAGCATTCCTGGTATTGCCAAGTTGCTTGGGTGTTGTCCTCAGAGTCCCCCAGAAGAGACATTAATAAATTTAGGGTGGATTTTATTACCCTTGTTTAGGTTCATAACCTAAAGCACATGCTTGTATCTAACCCTGTTTCAGGTATTAAAATGTCTACATTATTTACGGATGATTTTGAGACCATACCATCTTGTCACACAAAGAGGAATTCTCAGGCCAGAAGGAAAAAAGATTTTATTGCTATATTATCACAACCATATAGTTCAGTTCAACTGTGGCTTTGGAATTGCTTTGGAATTGCTTTTTACCCATATTTATTTGTAAGGGTACTTCTCAATTCCCAAACTTCAAAAATACTAGTTAGCTTTCATCTTTGACTCTTCTAGAACAATTACATTACCAAAAACATGCTCTGTGTGATTTTGTTCCTCTGAAATACATTGAAATTTGCTTTGTGGCCAAAATAAGTAGTGTTAGTTCTTGTAAATATACTATATGTGCTAAAACTAATGCTTCCTTTACAGTTGTTATATGATACTGATGGATATATGGGTACAGTTGTATGATTAAAATGTCTGGTCACTAAGTTGTATCCGACTCTTTTGCAACCCCATGGACTGTAGCCCACCAGGCTCCTCTGTGCGTGGGGTTTCCCAGGCAAGAATACTGGAGTGGGAATACTGGAGTGGGATGCCATTTCCTCCTCTAGGAGATCCTCCCAACCCAGGGGTGGAACGTATGTCTCCTGCACTGACAGGCAGATTCTTTACCACTGAGCCACCAGGGAAACCATCATGATTAAAACGATTTACTTAATAGAAGATCTTAATAGATCTTCTACACCTTACAGATTTCCTGTGTGCACGTTGTATAACTTTCTGACGGAGGGGTGGGAAAACTACCCACGCTGCTTGTGTATTTGATCATTCTTGTATTTCTGTCATTAATTGATTTATACAGTTTTACGCCACTGCCCATGGGAAAACCTGGGAGTTCTCAAAGGAAGCCCAGAAGTGGGGGACAAGGAACCTGGATTCAAGAGGACGAGAAATCATAAGGTCGGAAACGGTTCCAGAGGACCAGGGTGAAATGGCGTTTGAGGCATCAGCAGATAGGGGAGGGGCATTCTAAAACCGGGGTCGCGAGGGATGTTACTATGACGAATCAGAGGCTAAGGCAAGTGATTGGCTGAGACAAAGTTTAAAGCATCCCTGTTGCTATAGCATCATTCAAAGCGGAGAAGACGTGGAGGGAGACGGAGCCCCGTCGTCCACTCCAACTGCTCCTGCGGTTCCACTTGAGCTGGTTTTTGTTGCCTCCTGACTTGCTGACCTTCTGGCCTACTGACCTGTCCGGAACCCTCCCTTCTCCCCTCGGGACTTGCTTGACCCCCTGCTACTTTTTCCGGAGCCCCCTTCTACTCCTCCCAGGAGGCCACACCTCCTTCCTGCCACACCCCCTCCCCAAGCCCCTCCCCAATTCCAAATCCAACCTCTCTCCACCCCTCCCCACACCTCCCACCCTACCTCTTAGCGGGCAACCTCAGAGCCCCTGAGAGGACCAGGGTATGGAGGTGAAGAGACTGCTCTTCTGGATCCTCCTACTCAGGTCTCCGCTTTACCCAAAGATGCATGTGAGTAACACCAAACACCAGTGGCTTCTTCCTTTTTATTGGGCTTACTTAAATAACTGATTTTTTCATGGCATGCTCAATGGGAACTCAGTTCTTCGTGAAGACCAAGGTCCTCAGGGCAGGTTTCTTGACCAGCCGGAACCAGCTCTCGCCGCTGCTGTTCTCATCGTTGTCCTGGCCCTGTCGCTGCTGCCTGTATCAAACACAGCAGGGTTGACAGGATGAAACCTGAAATAGTAACTTGATTTGGTAAATGAAGGAAGTGGGAATGTACTAAAAGTTGTTGGGTCGTATATCAAAAATGGATGAATTGTATGATATATGAATTATGTCTCAATAGTGTTTTGGTTTGTTTGTTTTTGTTTTTTTTTTTAAGTAAGGAACTCTTATTTATTAGGAGTCCTGGGCTCAAAATTAGACTGGCTCCTGGAAAGCTTGTCAAGATCCTGCTTCAAGCTACACAAGTGCAGGGTCCTCCTCTATGAAGTGTGTTTTCCTGTAAGCACACTCTTCATATTCATGAAGTTTGGCAGCCCTTCGAACAGTGGTATTTAAGCTTTGGGTTGGTACTAGTCTGCTAAAAAGGGAAATGCCATTTGTGCTCTGTGCTTTCTGGTTTGTTGACTTTTATCAGCTTCTGAGGCATCCCTTTCCTTGTGCTTCTGAATATTGCCTTCAGGGGCTCTGCCCAGCCAGATTGATGGGAGCCCTGAGAGCCCAGTCGTGTGGCTGCATCCTGCTGGGATGTTCAGAATGGGAAAAGCCTTAGGAGTGACATAACCTGGAGGTGAATGAGACATTGTCCTTCCTGTAATGAAGTGTCTGTGTACAGAGTGCTGATTAAAGGTTCTTCAAGTCCTTAGAATTGTTCAGATATAAAGAAACGCCAGGTTCACCATACTATGAAAGTTTTCACTGCCATAAACATGTTCCTCCACACCCAGGAAAGAAAGATTAAAACTGAGAACACCCCAAAGAGATAAATGGATTTGTTCTCTTTGGCATGCACCAGGTTCTGAGGGATCTGGAAAGGCCCAGTGCCTGGGACAACCTTTGCATAGAGTCATGCCACATGAATACCTCCACCTGTTTCTTTTGAGCCTACAAGGGAAGAAATGTCTACATAATCTTTGTTGGAATTTTTTTTCCCTCAAAGGGATTGAGACTGTATTCTCATAGATTAGTTAAGTCCTCTTTCCACTACCTCATCTATGGGCACTCGGATAAGGCAACTTGTCTTGCATTTCCCACCTCCACTCTTGTTTGTGGCCACTGACTGTGATAACCTCAGTTTATTGACCCCACGGGATCAATTCTAGGTAGGAGTCAGCTGCTGGTGTCAGCATTTAGACAGTTGCCATGCAGAACAAGAGTGCCCAGGCCTGAGGATGTTTCACCAGTTACTGACCAGATGGTGTTTGCCTTCTGTGTGCATTTGATCTGTGTTTAACCTTTGTGCTGAGAGCCCCATTTCCCTCTCACAGTGTCTACTCAAAGACAGTGTATGATTCCCAACAGCACACATTTTACTGACCCCAGTCATGAGGGTTGACACTGAAAATGCTGTTGATTTCAGAAGCTACTTTCTAGAGTAGAGGGATTTTATTTGTACAAAACTGAAACTTGGTATGTAGATTACTATGAATCACAGTGAGTTTCTTTTCTCCTAAAATACTTACATCGCTAGATTTTGGAAGAAAATATGCTTTCCTCTTGTTTTTATTATTCAGACACGTTGATTTTTTATGATAATTTTCATGGTTGCTATTAATTGTTTAGGTGCAATGCTATAAAAGTTGAAAGTGAATTCCTTTTATGGACTGTTTGGAATTGTATTTTTAGCTAAATTCAATTCTTATCATTTTAATCATAATATATGAGATGATGCTGTTGTACAAATCATTATGTACTCAGAAGTCTGACATTATGTGCTCTTGTTCAGAATCAAAGTGCACTTAAAAAAAACCTCAATGTTTTTAGAAACTTGGGCTAAACAGAAATTTTTAATTAATTTTGGTTGAGAAAATAATTAGTTTTATTGCACCAGAAGCTGCCCATTTTTGTCACTTATTTCCATATTGATAAATATGTCTATATTATTCTCATTTATATGTTTAACATACATTTTTATTCTTATATTTCCCATCCTTCTATACATTTTGGAGTTATTTTAGGAAACGTTCAGTAGGAGTTTTTCCAGGTATTTCATGAAGATACAACAGAAGATGTAGATTTCTCATCCACTCTGTTTGCATTCACTTATTTTTCAATTTTAAGATGTCTTCTGCATTCATAAGTTAATTTCTGTTAACTATTTTTAAAATACTTACAATGTGTTTGTTAGCAAAATAAAATCTCTGTTTGTGTATCAGACTTTTTTTCTACAGCTTAAGTGTGGAATAATTTACCTATGATAGAGAGTACCTCTTCAGTGAGTACAGTCTGTTGATATTTGACATGTGTGTGCAGCAATAAAACCATTACTACATTAAGATTGTAAACACACCCACACTCCCAAAAGTTTCCTCCAGCTCCGTTAGAATCCTTCTGTTCCCTGTCTCCTCCATGAGGATGTATAAGAGGGATATAGGTGCCTCCTGGAGGTTGGTTTATGTTTTCTAAAGTTGATTCTTTGTGATAGATATACTGTAATTGTCTTCAAGTTTCCTCATCATCTCAAATATTATTTCAGCTGGTGCATATTCTGCCTGACCATTTCCATCTTGGGCCTGATGCTTATGAAATTCTTTGGAAGCTTACCATGATTACTGCCTCCTTGGGAATTTCTGCATTTGTTGTTTTCTTCTGGAGGACTATCCTTGCTGTGAGTATTACTAAAGCATATTACTAAAGCACCTTATAGATATGCTTTTAATCATCCATGATGGGAATTTTTATAGTCACAGACATTTTATTTGCATTCAGTTCTACAAATGTCCCTCCAAGCAGTGCTTTCACTGAATCCCACAAATTTTAATGTCTTGGATTTATTTTCAGTTAGATTGACATCTTTTCAAATTTCTGTTGAGATGTTCTCCTTGACCCATGTTTTCTTTAGAAGTATGTTGTTTAAACGCCATTTTTCATGTGATTTTCCAGTTGTCTTTCTATTACTGATTTCTACTTCAGATCCATTGTGATCTGAGAATATCCTTTCTGTGCCATTGTTTTCAATTTGTTAAGTGTTTCATGGCTCCCAATTATGGTCCTAGTGAATGCTCTGTAAGAGTTTGAGAAGAATGTGTATTCTGCTGTCACTGGTTGAAGTCTTCTGTAGATGTCATTCAACCCAGCTGATTGATAATGTTGTTCAATTCAAGTGTATTCTTATTGAATTCTTATATTCTGGATCTGTCAATGACTGATAAAATGTTTGATTTCTAACTCTAATGATGAGTTCATCTATTTATCCTAGAAATTCTGTCAATTTTTGTTAACTGTTGTTAACACATACTTATGAAGGATTGCTATGTCGTCTTGCAGAATTGACCTCTTTATCATTAAAGTAATGCCCTTCATTATCTCTGACAATTTTCTTTACTCCAGAGTGTGCTTTGAAGGCTAATTTCAGTGTTTGCAGAAGTCTAGGTTGATGATTCTTTCCTTTCAACACTTTTAATATATTTCATTCCACTATCTTCTTGATTCCATGGTTCCTGAATAGAAGTTTGATGTATTTCTCTTTGTCCTCCGTGGGTATGGTGTTATTATTACCCAAATGCCCTTCACACCTGGCTTCTATGTAAGTTTTTCTTTCTCTTATATGTTATATAAATTTATAAACAACATATAAATATATATGTATGTATTCATTCCCACATGGAAATCTGTGAGCATCCTGAATCTGTGGCTCAGTGATTATCCTTATTATCATTATTTTAGAAGTTCTTGGTCATTACTGTTTCAAATGTTTTTTGCTTTTCCTACTGGTATTGCTATTATGTTCAGGTTATATCCTTTGTAATTGTCCCACTGTCTTCAATCATTTGTGCTTTATTATTATTTTCTTTGCATCTGTTTAAGTTTCTACTGACTTTTTTTAAGTTCATTGATTCTTTCTCAGCTATGTTGAGTTTTTTAATAAACCCATCAAACGTGTTCCTCATTTCTGTTATAGTGTTCTTAATTCCTCAGTTTTCCTTTGGATCCTTTTTCCTCATCTATTCTTGCGTATTGTCCACTTTGTACCATTGGATCCATTACCGTGTTAATCACAATGGTTTTAAATCCCCAGAGTTAATGATTTAATTGTCTCTTCCATATTAAGTGTGATTCAAATATTTGCACTTTGAGTTCAAGCTGTATGATTTCTTCCTTTAGTATGCCTTGTCAGGATTTGTTGCCAGCTCCATATTGTGCCCTGTTGTGGTGGAACTGAGGCATTATATGTAGGCCTTTAATGTAAGATTTTATATTTATCAGGCTAGAGGGTAGGCTGAGTTTAATATAGATGAGACAGGAAGGAGAGAGAGAGAACGCTGGAATTGGGCATTTCCCTTTGCCAATGTCACCTCGTCTTTGGGCCAAACTTAGGCTCTAGTAAAACTGTTTCTCTTGAGGGCTTGACTTCCTTTACTGAGGGATAGTTGATGTACAATATTATGCAAGTTTCAGGTGAACAGCATAGAGATTCATAATTTTTAAATGGTACACTCCTTCATTTATAAGTACTATCAAAACTATTATAAAAGATCTTTAGTCAGTGTTTTTTATGTTTCTCCCCTGGCCACAGTGTACATTCTCCTTGATGAAATTACTGTGTGTGCACATCACAAGGAGTGGGGAGTTATATTTCACATCTTGAAGAACTGAACATCTACATAGTCATGCAGATTTCATCCTCTAAGGAAAATATTTCCATATGGATTTATTGAAATGTATTTTCCTTTTTCTAGAATAATGCAATCCTCTTTCATTCTGTCACTCAAATAGTTCCAGCTTTGGACATTGGGTCACTTTCAGGTGGTTCCTGTGTTCTGTGAGAAATGCCTTTGGTATTTTGATAAGGGATTGCTTTGATTATATAGATTGCCCTGGGTAGTAGGGTCATTTTAACAATATCAATTCTTCCAATCCCTGAACACAGTATACCTTTCTATGTCTGATTTCTTTCATCAGTCTCATAGATTTCTGAGAACAGGTTTTTTTAAACTCATAGGTTTCTGAACACAGATTTTTTTTTAATACAACTGTAAAAGAGATTGTGTCCTTAATTTCTTTTTTTGATAGTTGATTGTTATTATATAGAAAACCAACAGATTTTTGTATATTAATTGTGCATTCTGCAAATTTACAAAATTTATTAATGAACTCAAGTTGTTTTTTTGTGGTATCTCTAGGATTTTCTGTGTACAGTATCATGTTATCTGCAAATAGTGACAGTTTTACTTCTTCCTTTCCAATTTGGATTGTTTTTTTCTTTTTCTTCTCCGATTATTCTTGCTGATTTCCAAAACTATGTTGAATAAAAGTGATGAGTGAATGTCCTTTTCTTGTTCCTGATCTTAGAGGAAATTCTTTCAGTGTTTCACTATTGAATATGATATAAGCTGTGGGTTTGTCATGGATGGACTTTATTATGCTGAGGTAGTTTATATATATATATATATATATATATATATATATATATAAAATAAATATGTGCTAAAATTTTCTCCATCTATTGATGTGATCATATGAATTTCATTCTTCAATTTGTGAATGTGTTATGGATGGACTTTATTATGCTGAGGTAGTTTATATATATATATATATATGTATATATATATATATATAAAATAAATATGTGCTAAAATTTTCTCCATCTATTGATGTGATCATATGAATTTCATTCTTCAATTTGTGAATGTGTTGTATTACACTGATTGATTTGTGGATATTGAACCATCCTTGCATCCCTGAAATCAGTCCCATATCACAATGTATGATCCTTTTAATATACTGTTGGATTTGGTTTGTGAGTATATTGTCGAGGATTTTTGCATGTTTGTTCTTCAGTAATATTGGCCTATAATTTCCTTTTTTGTTTGACATTTTGTCTATTTAAAAATAGAAAAGAGTTCAGTGTTTATTTTTAAATGACTGTTTTCCCTCTCTCATGCCAACAGCATGTGGAGATTATTCCCCCAATATTTACACATCCTTTAGGATTCCGAAGATAAAACTGATGAAAGATAGGGGATCCCCTATCACTGGGCAATCTGGAATTATTAAATTTCATGCTTGTCCACACAGAGCCCCCAGGACTTCATCCATTAGAGTATAGTTTTCTCTCCCATGACGTTCCGTTCTGTAGAGAATTCTGACCTTGGGCCTCTGCTCCAGTAACTGATGATTGCCTGTATCTGCAAGTCTGTTTTTCTAATTCTCTAGCAAGATTTTGCCTTGTGACTTCAGTTCTCTGAGTGATCTATGAAGAGTTTTGATTTTTTCCAGTTTTCTGGCTTTTGTCTTTGGATGAGTGACAATTTCCAAGTCCTTACAAGTTGGACCAGAATCCAGGAGTCTAGCTCTCCTCTTTATTTCCTTTTAGAGTATAAACTTTAATAGAAATTAGCTTTGAAGTGACAATGCTTTGCAAAATACTCTAATCTTTTTACTCAAGAACTCAGTGAGCAAGATAAGTATATTCTCATTGGAAAAATAACAGTCTATAAACTGTTCTCTTCATGATGAAAACATAAATATCAAGTATTTGGTGACCCCATCCTTTTCACATGCCCCTGCCTGGGGGATTAGTTGACAAAGGACAGTAAAGCTCACTGTTTTCTTGTGCAATGTGTAAAGTTAATGATATTCTAATATCTTGGTAAATCTTGGTGCTAGCCTCAGAAAGCTTTCAGTCTCAATCTGAATATTGCTTATGGTTTTCAATGAGGAACTATGTTTTACGGTGAAGAAAATGTATCTTTGCATAATATTAAAATGAAACTCTGCCTGGATTTGATTGAGCTAAAATTCCTCAGGTTAGAATTCATATATGGGAAGCACAATTTTCCTTTCTTGAAATGTGAATTGTCCTTTCTTTTGTTGCTTGTGCTTTTCCTCTAGCCATCTCCCACCTTCTTTCTCGTAGATTACCCTCTGTGTTCATTGGTCTGGAAAATTCAAACCATGATTTGTTTCACTGTTAATCAGTTCAGCAAATAGCCAACTCCCTGAAAGATTTCAGAAAAGCTTCTAGTGAGTGAAGAGGCATATCTCAGCATGAAGATCTTGCCTTTTCCTTTTGGAAGCTTTTAAAATAATCCCAGACTCTGAACTGCAATGTACATATTGCATTTAAGAAAATAAATAATAATGCTTTAGTCTATTTATAACATTGTGTTATTAAAAATAAATGGATTGATTATCAAAACAAAATACATTGCATTATCAAAATTAAATAGATAGGTGTTCATTTAATAGAATGCAAAAGATCTTTTGGTCAAAAATAAGTTATTTACCTTTGTGTTCCTTCTCAGAAATTATGTAGGAAGTAGCCTGACTTAAATAGTAAATTCTAATTTTTTTTGTTATTTTTAATCATATAGGTCATTATCCTGAATCAAAATGATTATTATAATTTTTGGATTATTATTTTGATATTTTATCAGGAACTATTTGTTGTTGTTCAGTCACTCAGTCATGTCCAGTTCTTTGCAGCCCCATGGACTGCAGCACATCAGGCTTCCCTGTCCTTCACCATCTCCCTGTTCTTGCTCAAACTCGTGTCCATTGAGTGAGTGATACCATCCAAACATCTTGTCCTCTGTCGTTGCCTTCTCCTCCTGCCTTCAATCTTTCCCAGCATCAGGGTCTTTTCTAATGAGTCAACTCTTTGCATCAAGTGGGCTAATTACTGAAGCTATAGATTGTTAAAATAATATGTTTTGCACTGGGAAGACCCAGAGGGATCGGGTGGAGAGGGAGGTGGGAGGGGGGACCGGGATGGGGAATACATGTAAATCCATGGCTAATTCATTTCAATGTATGACAAAAACTACTGTAATGATGTAAAGTAATTAGCCTCCAACTAATAAAAATAAATGGAAAAAAAAAATTAAAAAAAATAATATGTTTTGATATCAACTTTAACTTTGTTTCTTCCTTCCCTAGGTAAAGCCCCCAGTATATCAAGGTAAGAGTTTAAGCTTTAGATTCCTTTCTGATATTTTCTCAGTACTTGTTTGATGTTAGTTTCAATTCAGCTAGAAGTAAATACAGTGACTTTTTGTATTTGTCTAATTGACTTCTAAAAGTATAATTTTTTAATTTATTTTTTTAATTAGAGGATAATTACTTTATAATATTGTGATGGTTACTCTTGAAAAATTTCTTGCTCCTGGGTTGAAGTCTAATGTTATTGTAGAGGGAAGTGCCACCCATTGAGATAAAAAAAAAAGAAAACACTAGGAAAAGATCACAGGGGTGGGGAGTGGGGAGAATAGGATGGATTTAGTTTTGCATATAAATGTTTAGGAAGCAAGGGATGATGAGACTGAAGTTTGGAATGAGTACCTGTCATGACCTGGTTCTTGGTGAAAGGTAAAGATGATGACACAATACTGAAGAAGCTTCAAGTTTAAGGAAGAATGCAGATATTGCCAGGCATTTTGTGTCACAACAAAGGATGAAGCCGTGGGTTATGAGTCTGAAGTGGAGGAAAACATTCATGCCACTGGAGAATGAGTGGAAATGAACATGATGCAAAATAGGGACAGTGAATTCGGTGTGGGCTTTATAGATAGTGGTGATTATGCGGGCTTCTCAGTTGAGAGCAGGGTGGCTGCTGGCACGTGGTAGGCCCTCAGAGGTCGGTGTTCATCACAGTGCGGGAAGCAGTGCTGGCAGGAATAACAGTGATCTCCGCATCCGAGCTTTCACCTTGGGCAGACAGAAGATAAGCTTGCACTGTGTGGTCAGATGCGGGAATGAAATGTCTGTTGGGGGAGTCTGGAATTGCAGGCTGTGTTCTTGAGCTTGACACATGTGAAAGTGAAAGTGCTAGTCACTCAGTCGTGTCCAACTCAGCAATGCCATGGACTCTAACCCCCCAGGCTCCTCTGTCCATAGGATTCTCCAGGCAAGAATACTGGAGTGGCTTGCCATTCCCTTCTCCAGGGGATCTTCCCAACCTAGGGATGGAACCTGGCTCTCCTGCATTGCAGGCAGATTCTTTACCGTCTCAGCCACCAGGAGCTTCATACATGTGTATACACCTGTAATTGGGTGCTTTACCCATTCTGTCTTCCTGAAAAGCGATGGTAACCTTCTCCATCCTGGGGACGAAAATGCCATTTTTTAGGGACTGCGAGTTTTCCTGGTCCTCCAGCACCAAGTTAGTGAAGCCCACATTGCATGCAAGTGTGTTCAGTTCCAAAGAGAAAGGCAATCTGCAGGGCATCAGGAAGACATTGGAAGTCTTTCAAGAGCCTATCAGTCAACATTTTGAATTTGCCTTCTGTGGAACTGCAAATAGGGCCTGGATGTGGGTTGAATCTGGATGAAATAAGGAGTTTCTTTTTCTTATAGCAACATTTATATTCACCTTAGTAATTGGAGGCAAGAATTTTCAGTTAACAGGATGTTTGCTTTTCCAACTTCATCTTTGGTGACAGAACAGCTAGTTGAAGTGACTCAATTTTCTGAGAATGGTACTTATAGATGGGGAAGAATTTAGAAGTCGATTTAATGTTTTTATTCATCTTTGAAAGCATTTTACATAGGAATCTCATTGAGATTCCTAATGTTTCTTATGTTTTAAGTTTCTGCTAGCTAAACTTTGCTTGTTTTAGACATAATAGTAAATAAAAAAGTTATATGAAGAGAAAAGAAAAAGATAATATATGTCTGCTGCTTACACTGAGATAATTCCATTTTAACTGAGTTTTTCTACTAAATCTTAGAAACTGTTTTATCTATCTTTAGTTACCTTGCAGCAAATATCAGCGAAAATCAATAATTTTGTGAAGGAAAACAGACAACTTGCAGAAAATATATCCATTATGGAACAGAAGGTATCATTTCCTTTTGTTATTTTTCATGATTTTACCTTCAACTTCTTCCACCTCTGAGAGTTCAGTTATTTTTCTGTTTTATTTCATCCTACTGTCCTGTTTCTTATGTTCCATAAGCAGTCCAGGTTCATAGCAAGCTCCATAGTTGTAAAGCACTGTTTTCTGTATTTGTGGAAGGACCCACAATGAAAAGACAGGTTTGGCTGGCCCTGTAATCAATATTTGTAATGTTGATTTCCTTTTGCACATATTTGCATAGATCAAGGACTCAAAGAAACATCTTCAAGAAACTAGGAGACAAAATAAGATACTCTCTCATGAAGCACTAAAATTTAAGGTAAAAATCCCATCTCTCCCTGGGATTACATTCTGAAAACAGAAGTAAAAGTAATGAGTAATTGTTACTGATTCAATTTGTTTTGTTACAGGATAACATCAAAACAATTGAGAGGGCTAATGAATATCTGAATGACCTCCTTCAAAGTTCTCATGCTAGGTTGCGGTCTGTGACCAGTCAGAATGTCAAGACACCCAACTTGGTAAGAATTTGGCTGCTGAGTTTATCACAGTTAGACTTTTGAGGCCTTCTGTGCATTGGGTGAATTGAGGGCTCCATCTTCTCTTACTACTCACCACTGTAGATTGTGGGTGTTTGGGAGCCGAACCTCCTTCCGAACAATGGTCTGGAATATCACTTACTCATATCTCCATGACTTTTCCAGTTGCAGAGACTAGGAAGTTTTTTTATTTTCCAAGTTTTCTCACTATTTGGCACTGCCTTCACATAGACAATCCCAGGAAATATATGAGAGGTGAAGGAAAATATCTAGCCAAGTTGTATGGGCCCTATCCTTCTTTATGCTGAACAAAGAATTTTCAATGTGAATTTGGGAACATTTTCTTTATTTTCCATCAAGAACACCCACTGATGAGCTCTTTGACATGGACAATTTTCCACCCTTGTCATCCGGTCATCTCTGTTGTTATTCAGTGAGCAAGATTTTTATGAAGCTATGAAATACTTGTGCATTAATGGCTTTCTTTGTTCTGCATTTCTTTATGGGCTGGACATTTTCCCTGGGCCCACCCTGGATCTACTCTCACATGAAACTTAGGGATCACCTTGTGATGTGCTTGTTTGATATGACCACTTTTCAGCATATCACTGAGTGTATCCACTAGAATCTCAGTACATTTTTTGTTTCTATCCTATGTGCAGATACAGGAAAAAGAAAATTCTGCAAAGAACATGAAAGACGCTCTTTTAGCGAACACCTCAGCAATTTCAGAGGTAAACTACCTATATTTGCTGCAGGATTTCCACTGTATACATTAGTTTTTACAAAGGACAAATTTTCACATCTTAGAAGCTTAAAATGATATCTGCTTGGAATTGTTTTTCTTGGGAATTAAGTCATTGATGAGAATGTTTTGCTTCAGTTTGAAAGTGCCTTTAATGAAGCTTGTGTCAAGGAAGTGGAAGTGAAACCTGAAGAACTGCGTGAACAGAATATTCAGCTCAACACTGAGAAGAATCAGGTAACAAGTTTTACTCTCATTGACTGTTTAATTCAGAGAACTGGAAAATGGTTACTTCCCTTTCAATTTTTTTAAAAATTCTATATTGGAATATAACTGACTGAAAATGTGTTAGTTTCAGATGTACAGTAAAATGATTTGGTTATACATACACATGCAACCTTTTTTCAGATTTTTTCCCATATAGGTTATTACCAAATATTGAGTAGATTTCCCCATGCTGTATAGTAGATCCTTGTTCATTATCTATTTGAAATACAGTAGTGTGTATCTATTTAATCTTAAATTCCTAATTAATCCCCCTACCATTCTTCTTTGGTAACCATAAGTTTATCTTTTATGTCTGTGAATCTGTTTCTGGCTTATAAATAAGTTTATATGTATCATTCTTTTAGATTCCACATATAAGTGATATCATATATTTGTCTTTCTCTGTCTAACTTACCTCATTTAATATGATAATCTCTAGGTCCATCCATGTTGCTGCAAATGGCATGTTTTGCCAAAAGTTTTTACTTTCATTTTAAATTCAATGGATTCAAACAAAATAAACCACTCATGACACACAAATAAAGTTTCAATTTTCTATAGAAGATTAGTTTACCTAATTTCAATATACAGTCATTAAAAGATAGGAAATAGAAACATCAGAGAAAAGTAATAGCACACACATCACCAAGTTGGACTGACCTACATCCAGACTTGAACAGCATTGGAAAGTCCCTCGTTAATATCAATTTGAAGTGTGAGGGTGTGTGCTAAGCTGCTTCAGTCATGTCCGACTCCTTGAGATTCCATGGACTGTAGCCCACCAGGCTCCTCTGTCCAAGGGATTCTCAACCCAGGGATAGAACCCACATCTTTTCATCTCCGCTTGTGACTCAGCTGGTAAAGAAACTGCCTGCAGTGTGGGAGACCTGGGTTTGATCCCTGGGTTGGGAAGATCCCCTGGAGAAGGGAAAAGCTACCCACTCCAGCATCCTGGCCTAGAGAATTCCATATACAGTCCACGGGGTCACAAAGAGTCAGACGCGACTTAGTGACTTTCACTCACTTACTATTGGAAGATGGGTTCTTTACCAGTAACACCATCTGGGAAGCCCTACAATCTGAAGTCCCCACTGGGAAATGATCCTGGGAGGTGCTCCACCCTAAGAATGAGACTTCAAATTGCAGTATGGCAGGCTCCAGCTTATAATCCCAGGCAGCAAATTGATAACATCATCAGTTTGAATGCAAAAAGGCAGCTCTGATTTAATTTTTACAATGCTGTTTGTTTGTCCTTGTGAGTTGTAGGATTTCACTAGACCCTGTCAGTTCAGTTCAATTCAGTCACTCAGTCGTGTCAGATTCTTTGCAACCCCATGGACTGCTGCATGCCAGGTCTCCCTGTCCATCACCAACTCCCCGAGCAAACTCATGGCCATTGAGTCAGTGATGCCATCCAACCATCTCATCCTCTGTTGTCCCCTTCTCCTCCTTCCTTCAATCTTACCCAGCATCAGGGTCTTTTCTAATGAGTCAGTTCTTCACAACAGGTGGCCAGAGTATTGGAGCTTCAACTTCAACATCAGTCCTTCTAATGAATATTCAGGACTGATTTCCCATAGGATTGACTGGTTGGATCTCCTTGCAGTCCAAGGGACTCTCAAGAGTCTTCTCCAACACCACAGTTCAAAAGCATCAATTCTTCTGCGCTCAGCTTTCTTTAGCGTCCAACTCTCATATCCATACATGACTACTGGAAAAACCATAGCTTTGACTAGATGGACCTTTGTTGGCAAAATAATGTCTCTGCTTTTTAATATGCAGTCTAGGTTTATTGTAGCTTTTCTTCCAAGGAGAAAGCGTCTTTTAATTTCATGACTGCAGTCACCATCTTCAGTGCTTCTGGAGACCAAGAAAATAAACTGTCACTGTTTCCATTATTTCCCCATCTATTTGCCAGGAAGTGATGGTACTGGATGCATGATCTTTGATTTTTGAATGTTGAGTTTTAAGCCAGCTTTTTCACTTTCCTCTTTCACTTTCATCAAGAGGCTGTTTAGTTCCTCTTTGCTTTCTCCCCAGATCTTCAAAAATATACCATTGATAGTTTGATAAGGATTGCATTGAGTCTTGGGTGGTATGGTCATTTTGATAACATTGATTCTTCCAATCTGAAAACATGGTATATCTTTCCATTGGTTTGTGTCATCTTTGAGTTCTTTCATCAGCATCTTACAGTTTTTGGAACGCAATTGTTTTGTCTCCTTAGGTAGGTTTATGTTTAGGTTTTTAATTCTTTTTGATGAGATGTTATATGAGATTGCTTCTTTATTTTCTCTTGCTGTTATTTCATTTTTGCTGTATACCATACAAAAGATTTCTGTGTATATATTTTGTATCCTACAACTTCACCCAGTTCATTGATGAAATCTAGTAGTTTCCTTGTGGCATCGTCAGGATTGTCTATGTATAGTATCATGTCATCTCTAAACAGTGACCATTTTACTTCTTCCTTTCCAATTTGGACTTATTTTCTTTTTCTTCTCTGCTTGCTGTGATTATGACTTCCAAAACTATGTTGAATTAAAGTGGACAGGGGGAACATCTTTGTAGTTCCTGGTCTTAAAGGAAATGCTTTCAGCTTTTCAACATTGAGGATGATGTTAGCTGTGAGTTTGTCATATATGTTCTCTATTATGTTAAGGTAGATTCCCTCTATTCCCATTTTCTGGAAGGTTGTTTTTTTTTTTTAACAAATTGTGTTGAATTTTGTCACAAGCCTTTTCTCTATCTATTGATGTGGTTATAATGGCTTTTACTTTCAATTTGCTGATCAATCTAGTTGATTTTCAGATATTGAAAACTCCTTGCATTCCTGGGATAAATAAATATGATCTTTTTAATGTATTTTTGGATTCAGTTTGCTAACATTTTGTTGAGGATTTTTGTGTGTAAATATGTTCAGAGTTGATATTGACCTGTAATTTTCTCTTTTGTGGTATCTTTTTCTGCTTTTGGTATCAGGGTGATGGTGGATCACAGAATGAACTTATGAGTTTTCCTTTACCTGAAACTTTGGGAAATAATTTCAGAATGTGTTTAATGTTTGAAAGAATTCACCTATGAAGCCATGTAGTCCTGGTCTTTGGTTTGTTGATGGTGTTTTAGTAATGGTTTCAATTTCAGTCCTTGTGATTTGTCTTCATATTTCCTGTTTCTTCCTGGTTCATTCTTCAGAGATTGTAGCTTTCTTATAAGAATATATTCCTTTCTTCTGGGTTGTCTGTTTTACTGACATATAGTTGCTTGTAGTAGTCATTTACAATTCTTTATATTTCTTTGATGTCAGTTGTAACTACTTCTTTTCATTTCTAACCTGATCGATTCAAGCCCTCTCCTTTTTTTTCTTCATGAGTCTGGCCAAAGGTTTATCAATTTTGTTTATTTTTTTCAAAGGACCAGATCTTAGTTCCTTTGATCTTTTTTATTGTTTTCTTCATCTTTATTGAATTTACTTTTTGCTCAGCTCTTTATGATTTCTTTCCTTCTACTAACATTGGGTTTTGTTTGTTCTTCTTTTTCTAGTTGATTTAGGCACATGGTTAGGTTATTAATTTGAGGTTTTCCTTGTTTCCTGAGGTAAGATTGCATTGCCATAAACTTCCTCTTAGAACTGCTTTTACTGTGCCCCATACATTTTGGATCATCATCTTTTCATTTTCATTTGTCTCTAGGTATTTTTTAATTTTATCTCTGATTTTTTTCTTTTCAGTGACCCTTTGTTTGTTCAGTAGCATATTGCTTAGGCCCCCAAGTGCTTGTTTTTATTTTTTTTCCTGGAAGTGAATTTTTTATTTCATGACTTTGCAGTCAGAAAAGATGTTTAATTTGATTTCAATTTTCTTAAATTTACCAAGGCATACTTTCTGGCCCATCATGAGGTCTATTCTAGAGAATGTCCATGTGCACTTGAAAACAATCCATATTCTACTGCTTTCAGATGGAATGTTCTGTAAGTGCTAAGTCCATCTTGTCTAGCATGTCCTTTAATGTCTGTGGTTCTTTATTGATTTTCTGTCTGGATGATCTGTCCGTTCATGTAAGGGGCGTGTTAAAGTCCCCCACTGGCAATGTCTACTGCCAGTGTCTCCTTTTATGATGTTAGCACTTGCCTTATTTATAGAGGTGCTCCTATTCTGGTTGCATATATATTTACAATTGTTATATCTTCCTCTTTCATTGGTCCCTTGATCATTATGCAGTGTCCTTCTTTTTCTCTTATAATGGTCTTCTTTTTTGTTGTTGTTTTAACTGTCTTCATTTTAAAGTCCAATTTGTCTTATATGAGTATTGCTATTCCAGCTTTCTTTTGATTTCCATTTACGTGGAATACCTTTTTCCATCTTCTCACTTGCAGTCTGTATGTATCCCTAGACCTGAAGTGGGTCTCTTACAGACAGCATATATACAGGCCTTGTTTTTATATCCTTTCTGCCATTCTGTATCCTTTGTCTCAAGCATTTAATCCAGTTACTTTTAAGGTAATTTTTAATAGGTATGTTTTTATTGCCATTTAGTTAATTGCTTTGATTTGTTTCCATAGGTCTTTTTTCTCTACTTCCTCTTTGTTCTCTTCTATTTTGATTTGATGGCTATCTTTAGTGGGTTTTTTTTATTCCTTTTTCTTTTTTGTGTTTATATCTATTGAAGATTTTTGGTTTACAGTTACCATGAGGTTTTGATATAGCAGTTTGTACATACACAAGATTGTTTTCAGTTGGTTGTCTCTAAATTTCAAATGCATTTCCAATATCCTGCATTTGTACTCTCTTCTCTTGACTGCTGGGTTTGATATCATATTTGTGTGTGGATAATCTCCTCCCTTTACTATATTGTTGTTTAGTCTCTAAAGTGTATCCAACTCTTTGCAACCCCATGGTCTGCAGCTTCCTTGTCCTTCACTCTCTCCAGGAATTTACTAAAATTCATGTCCACTGTATCAGTGATGCTATCGAAATATGCTTGCCTTTTTTTTCCATTTATTTTTATTAGTTGAAGGCTAATTACTTTAAAATATTGTAGTGGTTTTTGTCATACATTGACATGAATCAGCCATGGATTTACATATATTCCCCATCCCGATTCCCCCTCCCACCTCCCTCTCCACCCCATTCCTCTGGGTCTTCCCAGTGTACCAGGCCCGATACTTGCCTTTTTTAAAAAAAAAAGATATTTAGTTTATATATTTATTTGTCTACTCTGGGTTTTAGTTGCAGCACACAGGATCTTCAGTTTTTGCTTTGGCATTTCCTTGTGGTATGAAGGTCTTTAATTGGAGAATGCAGGATCTAGGTCCCTGACTAGGGATCCACCAAGGCTCCCTGCTTTGAGAACACAGACCTTTTGCTCCTGGACCACCAGGGAATTCCCCTGTATGTTTGCCTTTACCAATAAGTTTTCTCATTCATAATTTTCATGTTTCTGTTGTGGCTTTGTGTTTCCTGTAAGAGAATTTCCTTTAGCATTTGTTAAAGCTGGTTGGGTGCTTAGGGCTAGGGTTAGGGTTAGACAGTTTGATTAATATGTGTCTCTGTGTATTCCTCCTTGAGTTTACCCTCTGTGGCACTCTGTACTTCCTGAATGTGAGTGACTGTTTGCTTTCCCTTGTTAGGAGAGTTTTCACCTATTATCTGTTCAAGAATTTTCTCAGGCTCTTTATCTCTCTCTGTTCTCTCTCTCCCCCATAATGCAAATGTTGGTGCATTTAATGTTGTCCCAGAGGTCTCTTAGACTGTGTTCATTTCTTTTCACTTTTGCCCTTTTAATCTGCTTCATGGCAGTAATTTCCAACATCCTGTCTTCCAGCTGCTCACTTATCCACTCTACTGCATCATTTATTCTGCTGTTGATTCCTTCTACTGTATTTTTCATTTCAGTTCTTGTATCCTCCAGCACTGTTTTCTGTTCTTTGTTTCTTCTAGCTCTTTGTTAAACATTTCTTGTATCTTCTAGGTCTGTGCTTCCATTAGTTTTCTGAGATCTTAGATCGTGTTTACTATCATTACTCTAAATTCTCTTTTGGGTAGATTGTTAACCTCCACTTCACTTAGTTGTTCATCTGTGGTTTTAGCTTATGCCTTTGTCTGGAACTTATTCTTCTGCTGTCTCATTTTCTCATCTGACTTTTTGTGCTTGTGGTCTTTTTCCCACAGTTTGCAGGGTTGTACTTCCTCTTGCTTCCTCTTGCAGAAATCTGCCTTCTGTTGGGTGAGGCTGGTCTAGAGACTTGTGCAGGCGTCATGGTGGGAGTGCCTTGTGCCTATCCACTGGTGGGTGGAGCTGGGTCTTCTTCCTTTGGCATGCAGTGCCAAGGCAAGGAGTGTGTTTAGAGATAGCTCTGGGCTCAGAAAGGTTTTAGGCACCCTGTCTGTTAATGACTGGGGCTGTGTTCCCACCCTGCTGGTTGTTTGGCCTGAGGCATCCCAACATTGGAGCCTACAGTCTCTTGAGTGGGGCCAGGTCTGGGTGACAAAAGGACAGCCTCAAGGAGAGCTGATGTCAGTGAGTATTTCAAGGAACTTCCATCACCAGTGTCCTTGTCCCCACATTGAGCCATAGCTGCCTCTGCCTCCTGGAGCCCCCTCCAAGACCAGCAGGTAGGTCTGGCCCAGGCTCCTATGACGTCATTGCATCTTCCCTGGGTCCTATTGCTCATGAGACCTTGATTGCACCTTGCAAGTGTGGAGTGTCTCTTTCCCCTAGTCCTGTGGCCTTTCTGTGATCAAGCCTCACTGACATTCTAAGCCAAAAATGAATCATTTTAAGTGCACAATCCTCCTGTATTAAGTATACTCACATTGTTGAGTATACTCACATTGTTGATCAGTACTTCTTGAATGTTTTTTTTATTTTCATGTCTGTTTAAAGTTACAAGATGCCAATGCTGAATTTAAGGATTCAGAGCTGAGAACCTTGAGAATCAAAAACTGTGAACTTATAGGTATGTTGTTTGTTGGGAAGAATGCCCCACATAATGGAAATAACTTTGCTGGGGGGAGGCACAGAATTCTTTTTGCCTTCAGGGTTCTTCCTCACTTTTTTCCCCACCCCAAACAACTTCTCACACAAAGAAAATGCCTTCCTTCCAGAAGGTGAAAAGAACCTGAAAGACATCTGTGATGCACTGAGGTCTGTGAAAGCAGAGAAGGAAATGGAATTAAAAATGCTGAAGAGAAATGAAGCCTTCCTTATTGAATTCTATGAGCAAAGAAAAATGGCTGCAGAAGAGTAAGATGTTCATATGTTCCAAATACTATTATCTAAATGAATGTGTCAACCTATGTAGATAATCACATTTCTTTTAGAATAGGTTCCAGGGTAGTTTTGCCAAATTCATCCAACACATTCCTCCTACCTTGATTTCCATAATCCACATTTTTCTTTCTGTTCTAAGTGATCATCACACATTCTTTCTTACAATTTATTTGGGTAGTAGAGGCATTGTCCCAGTGTCAATTAAATTAATCCCTGATCCCCTCTGGATCCATTTACACTGTCCTTCAAGTTTCAGTCCCAGCACATTGTCTGGCTCTCCCAACCCTACGTCAAGTCACATTTTATTCTGCACTCAATACCTTACCATACAACCACGACACTATAGCTAGTCTAAAGCACTTCCTTAAAGATTGCCTGGGAGGCCAGACAGAAATGCAGGTACCCTTTTCTCTTTAGTATTTTTATCCTTGTTTCTAGAATATTTGAATTTTGCACATGAGTCCATAGAAGAGTATCAGATTGAAACCCTGTGAACTGGAACCATGAACAAAATAATCTGACAAAAAACACAGCCCATCATCCCTTGTTAAGCCATTGACCTTTACTGTTCTCAATATCAGTGACTCAGTCTTGTGAAAGTAGGTTAATACCCTGAAGTTGTTAGTTTTCCATCTGAAATCTGTCTCCTGGAGATAACACCCTGAGTGTGTGACAGTTCACATCATTTTAATACAGCACTAAGATTTGCTTTTTATTCTTGGATCTTTTCTTTCCTATGAAAAAGAGGTAGGAATTCCACTCCTGAACCATAGAAATTTTGGATAGTTATTGGAGAGTGTTAATGAAGCCATATCTTCAAAGAGTCTCTTTGGCTGATTGTCGGCATCAAAACACAGCCTGGATAAAGAATCAGGGTTCCCCAGGAAGGCATAAAACTAACTGTGGTCCCCTGCTTCATCATAATGTGTTTACTTGGGATGAGTTGATCAGATATCATTTTCCACATTGAAATAAATTGAGTCTTTACCATCTCAATCGCAAGACTGACCCTGGGAGGGCACCTAGTACATTTTTTTCTATGACTTTATGATGAATTAATAGGAGTAAAGAACTGTAAAGAGAAACTTAGATTGCAGAGAGACTTGCTAGCAGGTCAAAGTTTGGTTTTTCTTTAATCCTAGATGGGGGACTTCAGTTCATTCATCGGATTATGTTGTCAGTCTACGCACAACATGGGGACGTGGGGAGGAACATTTGAAGCTAGACCTTCAGAATTCTGGGAGATAAGGAAGGCAGAATTTCACACTGGCTACTGGACAATATATATATCTTTTTCCATCTTAGGAAACTGAAAAAGAAGCAATGTGAGTGGATGGAAAGGGAGAATCAGCTGTCCACTGCAGAGGAAAATTTGAAATTAGTTTCAGGAGAAGCACACAATTACAAGTAAGGTTAACTACTAAATACCAGTGGTTCATGAAACTGCTTTTCAGTTTTTGATTTTAACTTTTGTGCAATGTTTGGAACCAATTAGCCCAAAAGTTCAGAAGATATATACATAGAGAATGTATGGGGAAAAGGTAAATATTACAAAGAACAAACAGTTTGTCACTAATCATATACTGATCCCCAAAGCTGGCCAGATTGTATGGAAACTTAGCAGAAGTTACTTGAGAATGACCCTTGTTTTAGGAAGAACTGCATCCACTAATTTAGTAGTGTCACTAATGGACCTAGTTTTTGCAACCCTGGAAATTATGGTAAGAATATAAGTACAAAGAGAATAAAAGCTTTATGATCAGTCACTCATTACACAATAAATTAGAGAAATATTGAAAATGTATGGGAATTATATCAACTCAGAACCCTGTAGGCATTATTTAAAATAATAAATAAGAGAAGGATGTTCACAGTAGGTTTGCTCTTACTTTCACTTTATAATCATGTGAAAAGTGCTTTATATGTATTAATAAATTGCATTTGGAGATAGATATGAGGATAACAGGAACTTGGGCAATTATTAAAATCTTGCTCAGTGTTAAGCTTTATGTGATGAAAGCCATTGTATTATAACTCACAGGCAGCAAATTGAACGAATGCAAGAAGAACTGCAGCAGGAGGAGATCAGCTTCAGACACCAGGTGACCTGCCTCCACCCACGTTCCTGAGCACCTCAGGCTGCTGGAGGGGGGGCCTTAGCATTCCTCATCCTGGAGGGTTTATTGATGTGTTGCCTTTTTCAGATTTCTCTTCTTGAGAAGAAGGCTCAGGACAACCGGGTAAGTGTTTTTCTTTCTTTCTCGCCTTCATTTTGTAGTTGCCACAACTGAACTTGGGTGTGCTTCTCCTCCCACAGATCAAGGGTCGGATTTTGGAGAGAGAGATGGCAGAGCAGAGCAGGGAAGCCGCGTACTTGAGACACAGGTATGGGATTTCCCGTTCAGTTTGTAAGGGTGTCTTTGAGGTGGTAGGGCTAAGCCATTAGTGTCTAGTCAAGGACTGGTGTTGGAATTCTCACTGAAGTCCATTCCTTTTCTATGTTCAAGATTGGCAATCATTGAAAAGCAGGGACTGCAAGAGAAATACGGGGTGCCGAAACTGGTGCAAGGAAGACCTGGGACGCAGAGACCCCCCGGGAGAGGTAGGGAGCACCTTGTGAAGTGCAACAACTTACCTTCTGCTGCAAAACCGCACCGTGTCTTTCTTTCTCCTGCGAGTGATGACTGTGTTGTGTGTTGCCCGGGAACGATAACCAGTGCACACTGAAGACAAGAAGTTGTCTCAAGGAGTGACAGATGTTTTCCTCCGATGCCTCAGTCAGAATGACTTTCTGGGCCTGTGCCCTGTGATTGGTGGAGCTCAGGCCCCACCACTTACTGAGGACCCTCCCCATCCCTTTAGCCCCCAACCTGGGTTCCTCTAACTAAAGAGATAGGCCTGGAGGGCAAGTGGGTCCAAGCTTTCTTCCCCACCTCGAAAATATGGGAGAGAATTTATTATTTTTATTAGCAAAATGGGCATTTATTTACTGTTTTTGGTGGTTCCTTTATTCTGTTTGTTTTATTAATTTACAATGGGTTACGTATTCCACTCAAAAATTAAATTTCTATGTAAGTTTGCTCCTCTAATATCATTGCCATGACATGCACTTTCATTGATGAATCTCCACAGCTTTCATTTTCTCATTACTATAAAATTAGTCTAAGTCTATTTCCCTTTATGAATATTTATATAATACCTGGTCACATATAGAAGACAACTTACAATGCCTCAGTCAGAATGACTTTCTGGGCCTGTGCCCTGTGATTGGTGGAGCTCAGGCCCCACCACTTACTGAGGACCCTCCCCATCCCTTTAGCCCCCAACCTAGGTTCCTCTAACTAAAGAGATAGGCCTGGAGGGCAAGTGGGTCCAAGCTTTCTTCCCCACCTCGAAAATATGGGAGAGAATTTATTATTTTTATTAGCAAAATGGGCATTTATTTACTGTTTTTGGTGGTTCCTTTATTCTGTTTGTTTTATTAATTTACAATGGGTTACGTATTCCACTCAAAAATTAAATTTCTATGTAAGTTTGCTCCTCTAATATCATTGCCATGACATGCACTTTCATTGATGAATCTCCACAGCTTTCATTTTCTCATTACTATAAAATTAGTCTAAGTCTATTTCCCTTTATGAATATTTATATAATACCTGGTCACATATAGAAGACAACTTACACAGAGACAGGAAAATTGAGAAATTCCCCTGTGGCCAAAAATAAGAATTTCTGCTCTTCATGTTGAGGGTTTGTTGATATTCTACATATCCAAGGATATTCTCATTTCAGTTTCTAATCTGAGATTAATTTGGAATTTCCTCAGACGCATATTGGGAAATGGTTGCTTCAGTGTTGATTTCCAGCTAGGTGAGACCTATCCACAGTTGGTTGATTTGTTATGAAAATACATGAACTCTGGCCCTGTGGTCTTCCTCAGAGGTCAAGGTCTTGCTCCCCTCCTGGGGATCTCTTGAGGCATGGGGGAAACCCTTGGCCTCTGGTAATGGACCTGAGAGTGGAAAAGAGCGTAAGATGGTGGAAGAAGGCATGTAGGATTGTTTTTCTTTCTCAGAATCTATACAAATTGGAATAAACCTTCAATCACTTCTTCTTTATCAGATACAGGACCTGGCATGGCTCCCATGACAAACAGCAATTCTTTCCCTACTAAGGATGTACAAAAGGGCCAGGTAAATGCTGTGGTCATTCATGGTTGTAACTATTTCTGGAAACTTCTTTTTATACAACACCCTTTCTTGACCTCATCTCTAGACTGTGTGGTTGATTGTGCTGTATCTATCATGTCATTTTTACTTGGGTAAGCAAACTCCTCCCCAAGAATCTACAGGCTTCTCTGTTTTCAGCTAGTAACGTTTGGTATCCCTCCCAGAGCCAGCGGAAGCATGGGTTGACAGTGGTCTGTCGCGAGGTCAGGCACACTGGCAGCAGCATTCCTGAGAAGTGTGGCATGTTGGCGTAAGTCCTCCTAGAGGAGGTTGCCATTAGGCTTACCACAGAGACTAAATCTAAAATCACTGCAACTGGTGACTGCAACTGTGAAATTAAGATGCCTGCTCCTTGGAAGAAAAGTTAAGACAAATCGAGACAGTGTCTTAAAAAACAGAGGCATTATGTGGCAAGAAAGGTCCGTATAGTCAAAGTTATTGTTTTTCCAGTAGTCATGTACTGGATGTGAAAGTTGGACAGAAAGGAGGCTGATTGACAAAGAATTGATGCTTTTGAACTGTGGTGTTGGAGAAGACTTTAAGAGTCCCTTGGACAGCAAGGAGATCAAACCAGTCAATCCTAAGGAACTCAACCTTGAATATATTATATATATATATATATATATATAAAACAGCTCCATACTTAAGTCTCCTGGCACAGTAGAATCCTTCCTGGTCTCCTTTATTTGGGAACGTTACTAGATTACTGAAATGTGATTATTACTATTGTTATTTTGTACCTTTGTGTGTTTTGCAAAAATTGAATGTGCTTGGGTAATATAAACTTCATAATTCATTGCTATCCCATCTCTGTTGGAAAATATGCTAAACAGAATCCTTCTAGTGACACCTAGGTTTAAAAATCTCGATTTTCAGAAATCTTATATTTTTAGTAGAGCATGTACACTAAACAGAGTAGTGGAGAGGAGAAGGTCAATAATAACCTGCAGGGGTGATTTCCAACAAGTCCTTACATTGTGTTCATGTAAGCAGGTTGTGTTGTGTCCTTTAAGCTGTTATAGCTGAGACCTCTCTCATCTTACATCACAGGATTTATATACCTGAAATCAAAACATGTTTAACTTAGTTCTGTTATTTAGAGTGATCAACTCTTTTTTTTTTTTTCCCATAGTATGCATTTAATCTGCATCCCATAGGGTGGTTGAAGTACAGAGTCTCCTGTGTATTAAGATAAATGGAACTGGGCCTGTCTGTTTATAGATTTAGGATTCCCTGAAATCTGAAAACAGATGCACGGCTCCCCTGCAGGCCTCCAGGAATCCCCATCTCCCGGGACATCTTTGTGCCCATGGGCAGCACTTCCAAGGAGGCTAGGTCTCCTTTGTCATTAAGGAAGCACCGAGGATGAGGGCATGGTCTTGCCGGCAGAGCTTTTACCCAGGAGTAGCTATGATTCCATGTGCAGAGAATGGGCTTTTCATTTCCTTTCATTCTCTCTGTTCTTAGTGTACAAACAACAAGCTTCTTTGATGGTAGTGAAGGAGTGGTGGAGGGTTCTGCACACGGAGGCCTTCCTGTCAGGAATTTGCTGCTTGATCATTTTGGTATTTCCTCTGTTCATCCTCTGAGACAGGACCCTTGACTTTATACATTTACAGATGCAGGCATTAGCATGTGTTGACAGTGTTTTATACCCTTTTCACCCACACTCTGGGCAGGACCCAGAAAGATGTGTGGAGTTGTCAGGCATTAGGCTGCTCTCTTGGAACCTGGAAGAGGGGAGGGTACCAGGTGCTGGCACCTGCTTCACTGGGTTTCGGCTTTTGTTGATATTGGGGCTCTTGTCTGTCATATCAACATATCTTAAACTTCTGTTCTACAGGTCAGTATGGATGCAAGAGGGCCCTTTCCTTTCGCAGGACCACCCAGCATGCCCTACCCCATGGGCTGCCCTTTATCACCACTCAAGGGCTGTGGGCCTCTTCCACCTCCTCCACCCTGGCGTCCTCTGGGACCCCACCCAGTGCCTCCACATCTTCCAGATGGTAAGATGATCTGAAGGGTATGCTAACTTGTGAAGCATCTTCATCCATTTTTCTGTTGAGGTTTTAGAGGCAATGCAGATATGTATACCGATGGCTCTGTAATGCAAAGACAAACCTGACTGAGGTCTTGGAACATTTATTCCTCAAGTTTCTCAGGTCATACATGTGATGGGCTGGTCGCCCAAACTGAGCTGGGCATCAGGTGTTCCTGCAGAGGAGGAAAGAGGCTTTTTAGAGAATGAGAGAAAGACCAGTTTTGCAGATTCACCTCATACAGAAGCCACTTGTTGGGTTCTGTGAATCATAAGACACATCCCTAATTTCAAGGATTAAAATATTCCTTGAGAGAAACAGAGAGAGAGAGATAAATGATACATAAGTGACCCAGAACTTGTGATCCTCATAACAGAAGCACCAGTTCAAGGCCCTAGAGTGCAAAAGAGGGATCTGTGAGTCACACAGGAATACATAGGATGTTTTAGAAGAAAAAGTAAAAAGTGAAGTGGAGTCACTTAGATGGAACTGGAAGGCCATTCCCAGCAGGGCAAATGGTTTGGGCAGGAACTCTGAGGCAGTAAGATGTCCACACGGGGCCTCTGTGTGTTGAAATGACACAGACCTGGCAATGCGTGATCCCCTTCAGGTGCCACTGTTGCCATAAAGCCCTTAGATAGTCATGTCTCATAAGGTTATTGTTTCATTGGATTTCTGAAAGTTCTGCTTATGGGTGAAAGAAGGCTCTGGATATCAGGGAAACAGAGATGTTTAACTTGGTTATTTTGTGTGGCTGAATTTTTTTTTTTTTTTTTTTTTGGTCCAATGATTTGAAAACGCAGTCAGGATCTAAATGAGCTGAAGAGCTGCCTTGGCCTTCAGCATAAGGCGGGCTCTTCCCAGGGAATTCAAGGTTGATCCAGAGCCACTCCTGCAGGACCCCTGTCACCACATCCCTGCATCCTCTAGTCCCCACCCTTGTCAGCTTTGCATCTCCCACATTTTCCTCACAGTATATTATACATGATTCTTTGCTTGTATACCTGTTGTTCAGTGCCTAGTGCTCAGTGGGACCTAGACAGAGTGTGAGCTTTTTATCATTAAAACAAGGATAGTATTGATTTCTGATGTCATCATGAGAAAGATGAGATCAAGTACATATAGAATTTTGCAGACTGGCTGACACATGTTTGCTCTTGTAGTTTAAAGGAAACTGTATGCACACACACAAATCATGAAAGATACTCTGGAAAATATGTTAAATTAACCTAAGGATATAAGCCCTGAGGCCTAGAGCTTAGCAATCTGTGCTTTAAAAGACAAGGCCAAGACACTCTTTCCCCTGTAAAAATTCAGGCCCTACTAGTTAAAAAAGAAAATAAGAGAGTGTGTACATTCAGAGACCTGACAGGAATTGTTTTCATTACGTATAGAGTCGCAGATGCAGCCACACAGTAAAGCGTTCATCAGAGATCACAGATGTATTAGAGAAGGCAAAATGCATGTAGGGAAAAATCAGATCACATTGAAATAAATCCAAATGTCTTTCCCTTACAGGAGAACCAGTTTAAATTTGAAGAGAATCTTGAGCCATGGCAAGCAGACTATGGTAATAGGATCCTTAGAGGTGTCAGATCTACATTCTGGCCCGAATGTTTCCCTGCCCCTTCCACTACTGTCTCTCCCATTGTCAGTCCTAATAAACCTTCCACGCTTCTACCTCTGTGTCCGTGTCTGTTTCCTGGAGGACCAACAGTCACACCCATTGTGTACACAGGGAGTGACTCACTTACACCCAGGTCACAAACAAGCAGGACCAACAGTGATGGGGCAGAAGTAGGGTCATCCGGTGAGGTAGTGTTGAGTGCAAGGGGGCCCAATAGATCCTTCCAGGGTGCTGGACACATCCTATGCCTAGACCTAGGGATGGTTGTGTTTATCAGTCTATAAATACTCACTGAGTACATGGATCCTGTCAGTCACAGGGGTGTCTGGTCATCAGAGAGACAGGCATCTGTCCCCACGAAGTGGCCATTTCCTATTGTGAGGAATGGAGGAGGTGCTAGGAGTGGCTGAGAGAGTCCAGTGCAGGGGTCCTGCCTTAATCCAGGCTTTGTACTCTTCTTCCCCCACTCTGCCAGCTGTCCCCAAGTCCAGGTGGCTCTGAGTGGGGTGGGTAATGGCAAAAGTTTCCTTACTAAGTCCCATGGGCTCCCTTAATCCTCCCACGATCTCTTTATTGAGAAATGTGCAGTGATGGTTGAGACTCCCATCAATGTCAAGAAGAAGGTGTTGGGTAGGAATATCTATCTCCCTTCAAGTCCCTCAGTCCAACCCATCCTGCCCCAGTAGCCCTTGGAGCCTGCACAGTCCTCCTTCCATCCAAGTGGCAAAGGCATCCTTCCTCCAGCAGCTCTGGGGTCAAGGCTGGGCCACCAACAGGTCCAAGGAGTGACTGGGCCAGCCAGGACTAGCTGGGAGCCCCAGGGCAGCAGAAAACCTCAGCGTGAGCAGTCTCTCTAAAACAGATTCTCGCCCACTATGAGCAGAGCCTGGGCCAAATCTCGCCAATGAGGGTAGGAGGACTGGGAGAACTGGTGCCCTGTGGGCCCCGATAGGAATGGACTGGAGCAGCGTGCCTGAGGGCCTGCGGAGAGACAGGGGAAGGGATAAGCAGAGTGGTTGAGAGAGAGAAGTAAGAGTCAAGGCCCAGAGAGTGACAGAAAGTGACAGAAGGGGACAACTGTAAAGAGAAGCAGAGACAAGAGGAAGCAGAAAGGAAGGAGTGGGCCAGGCCAGTGCGTGTGGTGGGGAATGATGGGCCGGAGTGGAAGCCACTCTGTGAAAAGACCCAGAGTGGAGGAGGCAGAAAAGACAAGATTCCTGGGCATCACAGTTGCTGGAGTTCTGATGCTGCATCCTTCCTGAAACTGAGCTTCCTGGGGATCATCACACTTGGAAAGACTTGTACCTTCCGTTTTGTTTGAGATTGCTGGTTCCAAAGGAGTAGCTTTCAGGAGTAGAGCTTCCCTTTGGCAATAAACGCTACAGTCTAGCTTGTGGGGAGTTGACCCTGACTCCTTATATACCTAGTCATGCTGCATTTCCCACCGCACCAGCTGGGACTTCATTGTTCAAAACTGACTTCAGTGGGGCAATGTGCTGGCCCCACTATCCATAGCCTGGAACTAGCGAAGATGGAATTGAATCCCTTCTGAGGTTATCAGGCTTCAAAGACACAGGGTCTCTTACTGTCAACCAGGCTTCCCTGGTGGTTCAGATGGTAAACCGTCTGCCCGCAATGCGGCAGACCCGGGTTCAATCCCTGCGTCGGGAAGATCCCCTGGAGAAGGAAATGGCAACCCACTCCAGTATCCTCGCCTGGAAAATTCCATGGACGGAGGAGCCTGGTGGGCTACACAGTTCATGGGGTCGCAAAGAGTTGGACACGACTGAGCGACTTTACTTTCACTTTACAGTCAACCGGAATTCCTTCCAACCCTAAGGAGCTGGGACCACCAATAAATTACTGAGTAGTATCAGATAAAATGTACTGTGGGTTCACACTGAGCAGTGTAATGTGCACATTGACCACATTATTTAAGTGCAGTGTTGCATTTACATAACACTCTTAATAACCCATTTTGTGGAGTTATTGAGGAGAGACAGAGGGGATGTGAATTTCCCAAGGTCTCATGGGAGGTGGGTACTATAACTTTGCCTTGAGCCAAGGTCTACCTTGGAGAAGGATTCCACCTTTTACAGTCCCCTTCCTGTGACCTGCTCCCTGAGGTGGTGAGGAAGATGGTTGACTCTATATTAGGAAATTTCTCTTCCAAAGACACTAAGTCATGCATCACTCAGGACAGACATGGTTATAGTGTGTTCACTTGTGATTCAGATTCTCAGTGGCTTCCCACAGGAAGGTTTAGTTCTCTCACAAACTGCATATTCACAGAAGGTCAACTGTGTTTCTGTTCCACATCATCATCTTGGTGACATTTAGGTTAATAGTTTAATGTCCCTTTGGAACATAAACATTCCTGTGACATTTCAAGGAAGACTTGGTAAGGCACCATTGTCTCAGGAAATTGACTCCCTACTAGTGTTAAGTCATGTATCATCATAAATAATAGTAAAACCCCTCAATCCAACATTTAAAATATAGTTAATTTTATGAAATATAAAGCACTGCATTGCTTTATTCCATGACAAACAAGACATAGCACTTACAATGAATTGCTCTTTCGAATGGAAAGTGGTGAAAACAGCAGTGACATTTTTGCAGGGATGCAGGTACTGCAACTCTCTAGAACAAGCTGAGTAAGTTTACAAGCTTTTCTCCATCACCAGTCCCTGGGCACATACACCCTTCCTGAAATGATCATCTACTTCTGATCATAAAAAAGCTAAAAGCCTGTGCACACATTACCGAGCAACATATCAAATACACAGATCACAGGATTCACACAGACACTGTCAGTATTGTCGCCTTAAGATATGCCTGACAGTGCAGGCATGGGTGTCATTATGAATGATCTGACACTTCAGCATCTGCACAGAAAATCATGTGGAGAGAGGGAGACATGTCGGAGAGTGATAACATGGGGAAAATGCACAGTTAGTCCTATACATGCAAGTCAATTGCCCAGCCAAAAACCACCCTGTGTATCTTTGATCATTTTCCTTAGTGACTAGCATAACAGAATGTTTGATGCACAATCAAAAATACAATCCTGTGCAAAGTGCAAGAACTATGATCAACAAAAGAAAAATTTTTTAAAAAGACTCACATAGATTAACATGCGGGAGTTTGATTAAAAGGAATCCAAATCAAACACTAAAGATTTTTAAAAAGAAATTATTAGAAATAAAAAATAACTTATATAGAATGTCAATTTATTAAAAATTGATTGAACATTTGAGAGCAGATATCTTAAACTATATTTAAGCTGAAGAACTCAAAAGAGAACTTTGGTAGGTTTGACTCCTATAAGGTATAATTTGTAAGCTTTAATACAGTTAGTAGAAAATATCCCAAACAAACAAAAAACCTAGAAAAATATTGGGGAGAAAAAGAAGAAGCTATCTAAATAATTAGGAAATCATGGACTTATTAAATTATATGCGGCTACAAATCTCCTTTTTCTTATCTGTACAACACATATATGCATTGCTTCTTCTGTGGTTTTCCCTGGGGAGGAGAGGCTACCCTGGATCTGTTGAAAGTGCTCTGCATGAGCATGTGGTCTGAACTGGGTTCTTCTTGATTGGTTGGTTGAGGATTTTGAAAAATGCAAATGTCTTGGGTATTTTGGAGAACCTGTATCCTCATGACTCTGTCCTCCCTCCCTGAGCTTTGCCTGCTTACTGCTCTGCCAATCCCAAGAAGAGACCTGAGGAGGAAATGTGGTGTTGTGGCCTTTGGCAGTGCAACCACATATGATAGGGATTTCCCCTTTTCCCTGATAACTCAGTTGGTAAAGAATCCGCCTGCAACGTAGGAGACACCGGTTGTTTCGATTCCTGGGTCTGGATCACCCACTGGAGAAGGGATAGGCTACCCACTCCAGTATTCTTGACCTTCCCTTGTCGCTCTGGTAAAGAATCTGCCTACAATGCATGAGACCCAGGTTCGATCCCTATGTTGGGAAGATCCCCTGGAGGGGAAAGACGACCGACTCCAGTATCCTGGTCTGGAGAATTCCATGGATTGTACAGTCCATGGGGTTGTAAAGAGTTGAACACAACTGAGTGACTTTCACTTTTCACTTCACTTGCACTGATATGAGTACATCTTCATTCCTGGATGATGTAGAGTTTTCTGCCTCTTTTCCATCTCCCAGGCCTAAATCTTCTTGCCCAAACCAGATCACGTCCATGACTCTAATCTCCAGTTTTGCTCTGCCTAGATCACAGTGATTCTTACTGTAGTCAAAATCTCAGTAAGAAATTACATCCTATCCAACATATACTCAAGGCTTCCCTGGTGGCTCAGATGGTAAAGCATCCGCCTGCAATGTGGGAGACCCAGGGATCAAACCAGGGGTCTCCAGAGGAAGATCCTCTGGAGAAGGAAATAGCAACCCACTCCAGTACTCTTGCCTGGAAAATCCCATGGACAAAGGAGCCCGGTATGCTACAGTCCATGGGATTGCAAAGAGCCGGACACGACTGAGTGACTTCACTCACTCACTCATTAATGTTTAAGATTGTTGACATAATAATGTAAACACCTTGAGTCATCAACGTACTAGATATAGTATTGCTGCAGGAAGGGGGACCCCTTCCAGGGCCCGATAGTGGGCTCCTGTCTAACACTTGGAAATGAATCATCCAAGGAGACATGTGTGCTGACAAAGCAAAAGATTTTATTGGGAAAGGGCACCAGGGCAGAGAGAAGTAGGATAAGGGAACCCAGGAGAATTGCTTTGCCATGTGGCTTGCAGTCTCCGGTTTTATGGTGATGGGATTAGTAGCCAATCATTCTGACAGAGTCTTTCCTGGTGGTGTATGCCTTGTTCAGTCAAGATGGATGCCAGAGAGGATTCTGGGAAGTGGTTGAACATGTGGTGTCACTCTTTGACCTTTCCTGAACTCTCCTGGTTGGAGGTGGCTTATTAGTTCCCTGTTCCTTACCAGGACCTCCTGTCATAAAACAACTCATGCAAATGGTTACTATAGTGCCTGGACAGGGTGGGCAGTTTCAGTCAGTGTGC